TCGGTAGTTTTCGGTAGTTTTTGGTAGTTTTTGGTAGTTTTTGGTAGTTTTCGGAGTTTTTGTAGTTTTTGGCAGGCTTTGGGAGTTTTTGGTAGTGTTTGGCAGTTTTTGGAAAATCATGGTAGATAAATGTAGTTTTGGTAGTTTGTGGAATGCTATGGTCGTTTTGGGACATGTTTATTGCTGATTTTGGATTGCCAAATCATGAAATCTAGAATGGAATACTATCGTCTATCAACTATGAAAAGAGCGTGTGAGTCCTAGACGCCGCATACTTTCCGAAGGATATTTTGTTAGTTCTAAGATTCCTTCTCTTGCGAATTTGTCGGATGTTTCCATATGTTGGAATCTACTCTGAAGTGTGATGTGAGAAAGCCCCTTCATTAGTAGAGCGTTTGGGTCGTTATGGGTAGGTTCAGGCAGTTTCAAGCAGTTTGAGGTAGTTGCGGGTGAGTTTGCGCAGTTTCAAGAAGTTTTAAGCAGTTTGTGCCACTTGTAAGAAGGCCCTGTTTCAGGAACCGAATGATACTCCGGTAGGGCACTGGAACCTTGGGGACCTCTAAGATCTCTGGGGTTCTTTGTGCCTACGCAGAGAAAAGGCCGGTGTCAGAACAACCTGACACGGCATTTGCAAACTCCTTACAGATTCACCGCCGCGGCCCGACAATACTGTAGGGGTCCCAAGTACGGGGACCCGTAGAAGTCCGAGGGGGTGGGGGCTTCCCAGGCGTGCGGTGGTCGAAGTACGATTCGCCCCGACAACGAGATGGCGCAGCCTTCCCTGCTTTTGAGCAGGTGAGGGGTTGGGAGATGTTGGGAAGTTGGGGGGGGCATGGGTGGGCACGGGCGCCACAAAAGCACGAAGCGCAGGAGTCTGCCAAGCGGACCATGCCACAAGTTCCGCAGGGAGGTTGTTGGTTCAGCTCGACCTGCTTTTCTTCGAAGCGTTCGTTCGCCGATGTATGCGACTCAAGCCGATTTGACAAGACTTGGGAGCACAGGCCGCTTAAGGTAGCTTCGTAGCATCTGCGCCATGGCCATGAAGATGATTTGCTCGGTTCTGCTGTCGCTGGCAAGCTTGGCAGCCTCCCAGACTTGCTGGGCGGGCATTCCATCCAGCATCACCGCCACACCAGGAATGACGGTGAAGACGATGACCACCGTCGCCGCCTGCACAACAACCACCATGACAACCACCACAACTACAACTACCACAACCACCACAACCACAACGACCACCACAACCACCACGACCACAACAACCACCACAACCACAACGACCACCACGACCACCACGACAACGACCACCACCACCACGACCACCACGACCACCACGACAACGACCACCACCACCACGACTACAACAACCACGACCACGACAACCACCACGACCACCACCACCACCACAACTTCAGCCCCGAACTGCGGAGCTGTAACGTACATGGGCGGTGAGTTTTCGGGTGCCACAGCCGCCTCAGGGTGCACCGACCTCGCCTACGGATCAAACTGCTCAGTGACCATCGCGGCCCAGACCGGCAGTTTGGCCAAATGCCTTGCAGCTGGCACATACACCTTTGCATGCCCTGAGGCGGCTGGCGGGCAGACCTTCCTCATGGCTACGGAGGCCTACCTGCAGTGCAAGGTCTGCGCGGCGAGCTTCACTGATACCAACGACGGCACCGGAGTCTACTCAGGCATGCTGTACTTCGGGCAGAACATGCTGAACGGGGTTGTGGACGAGGCCCGTCTCGTGACTTCTGACTTCGTGTTGCGAACTTCGTGACCACGTGACATGTCGTGACTTCGTTAGTACCGAATCAAACTGCCCTAAACTCCCACTGCGTGTCTGACAAGAGGCCGACATCACCGCCTACACCGCCTTCGCTGTGGACGATTGCGGCGCCCCTGTCCTGGATGCGATGGGGGGTTTGACGCCACTGGGAACGGCACTCAAGGTGACCTCATCAGAGACGTGCTGTGACAGCACGAAGTATTCCATCGCCATCACCCTGACGAACCCTACCTACACCAAGATTGCGGTGGTGCCCAGCGACGGGGCAAACTTCTTGAAGGACGGTGTGATCGTTGATCTCATGGACCTCACTACTACCACCACAACCACCATGGGCGGCGGCGGAATCAGCGGCACCACCACCATGCACTTGGCCCCGGCTATGGCTCTTGGGCTGCTTGCCATCTCCAACTGAGCTACTGAGATCGGCGAGGCAATATGTCTCACCGGTCTCAGGTTGGAGAGAAGTAATGTTAGGATCGGCTGCAAGCCATTGCTGCTGGAGTCATTCTTATGTGTTGTGAAATATGAAAAAAAGCCGCAGTCCCCTTTCGAGGTGTCTGTGTGTGTGTGTGTGTACATGTTGTCTCTGCCGCATGGCTTGGCGCGACACGTCTCTTTCACTGGGAGTTTGAGCACCTGAGTTACAGGACCATCGCTACAACCCCAGAAACCCCTGAAGTTCTGGGCAGCTTGACTTGGGATGCTCCACTCTTCCTTGGGACGTTTTGCGCCTCCAGCATCAAGCCGGCGAAGTCGGTGAAGTCTCAGCTGGGGCCTTTTCAGCGTACTCCGCCACAACACACCGGGGCCTGGAATACCTGGGCCTACAGTGACTTGTGCAGAGGGACGAAAAGAGGCCTTTCTTGGGGGGGACCACAGGGAGCCGCGAGGTCCGCTTTCAGGATTTGTTGCGGGGAATGTCATGCCTAAACGCCGGAGACCAAGGCGCCCACGTCGAAGTGCGAGTCCGACAACGAGCTGGATGGCACAGCCTTCCCTGCTTTTGAGCAAGTGGCATGCATGCGTGGGCACAGGCGCCACAAAAGCACGAAGCGCGAGAGTCTGCCAAAGCGGACCATGCCACAAGTTCCGCAGGGAGGTTGTTGGTTCAGCTCGACCTGCTTTTCTTCGAAGCGTTCGTTCGCCGGTGTATGCGACTCAAGCCGATTTGACAAGACTTGGGAGCACAGGCCGCTTAAGGTAGCTTCGTAGCATCTGCGCCATGGCCATGAAGATGATTTGCTCGGTTCTGCTGTCGCTGGCAAGCTTGGCAGCCTCCCAGACTTGCTGGGCGGGCATTCCATCCAGCATCACCGCCACACCAGGAATGACGGTGAAGACGATGACCACCGTCGCCGCCTGCACAACAACCACCATGACAACCACCACAACTACAACTACCACAACCACCACAACCACAACGACCACCACAACCACCACGACCACAACAACCACCACAACCACAACGACCACCACGACCACCACGACAACGACCACCACCACCACGACCACCACGACCACCACGACAACGACCACCACCACCACGACTACAACAACCACGACCACGACAACCACCACGACCACCACCACCACCACAACTTCAGCCCCGAACTGCGGAGCTGTAACGTACATGGGCGGTGAGTTTTCGGGTGCCACAGCCGCCTCAGGGTGCACCGACCTCGCCTACGGATCAAACTGCTCAGTGACCATCGCGGCCCAGACCGGCAGTTTGGCCAAATGCCTTGCAGCTGGCACGTACACCTTTGCATGCCCTGAGGCGGCTGGCGGGCAGACCTTCCTCATGGCTACGGAGGCCTACCTGCAGTGCAAGGTCTGCGCGGCGAGCTTCACTGATACCAACGACGGCACCGGAGTCTACTCAGGCATGCTGTACTTCGGGCAGAACATGCTGAACGGGGTTGTGGACGAGGCCCGTCTCGTGACTTCTGACTTCGTGTTGCGAACTTCGTGACCACGTGACATGTCGTGACTTCGTTAGTACCGAATCAAACTGCCCTAAACTCCCACTGCGTGTCTGACAAGAGGCCGACATCACTGCCTACACCGCCTTCGCTGTGGACGATTGCGGCGCCCCTGTCCTGGATGCGATGGGGGGTTTGACGCCACTGGGAACGGCACTCAAGGTGACCTCATCAGAGACGTGCTGTGACAGCACGAAGTATTCCATCGCCATCACCCTGACGAACCCTACCTACACCAAGATTGCGGTGGTGCCCAGCGACGGGGCAAACTTCTTGAAGGACGGTGTGATCGTTGATCTCATGGACCTCACTACTACCACCACAACCACCATGGGCGGCGGCGGAATCAGCGGCACCACCACCATGCACTTGGCCCCGGCTATGGCTCTTGGGCTGCTTGCCATCTCCAACTGAGCTACTGAGATCGGCGAGGCAATATGTCTCACCGGTCTCAGGTTGGAGAGAAGTAATGTTAGGATCGGCTGCAAGCCATTGCTGCTGGAGTCATTCTTATGTGTTGTGAAATATGAAAAAAAGCCGCAGTCCCCTTTCGAGGTGTCTCTGTGTGTGTGTGTGTACATGTTGTCTCTGCCGCATGGCTTGGCGCGACACGTCTCTTTCACTGGGAGTTTGAGCACCTGAGTTACAGGACCATCGCTACAACCCCAGAAACCCCTGAAGTTCTGGGCAGCTTGACTTGGGATGCTCCACTCTTCCTGGGACATTTTGCGCCTCCAGCATCAAGCCGGCGAAGTCGGTGAAGTCTCAGCTGGGGCCTTTTCAGCGTACTCCGCCACAACACACCGGGGCCTGGAATACCTGGGCCTACAGTGACTTGTGCAGAGGGACGAAAAGAGGCCTTTCTTGGGGGGGACCACAGGGAGCCGCGAGGTCCGCTTTCAGGATTTGTTGCGGGGAATGTCATGCCTAAACGCCGGAGACCAAGGCGCCCACGTCGAAGTGCGAGTCCGACAACGAGCTGGATGGCACAGCCTTCCCTGCTTTTGAGCAAGTGGCATGCATGCGTGGGCACAGGCGCCACAAAAGCACGAAGCGCGAGAGTCTGCCAAAGCGGACCATGCCACAAGTTCCGCAGGGAGGTTGTTGGTTCAGCTCGACCTGCTTTTCTTCGAAGCGTTCGTTCGCCGGTGTATGCGACTCAAGCCGATTTGACAAGACTTGGGAGCACAGGCCGCTTAAGGTAGCTTCGTAGCATCTGCGCCATGGCCATGAAGATGATTTGCTCGGTTCTGCTGTCGCTGGCAAGCTTGGCAGCCTCCCAGACTTGCTGGGCGGGCATTCCATCCAGCATCACCGCCACACCAGGAATGACGGTGAAGACGATGACCACCGTCGCCGCCTGCACAACAACCACCATGACAACCACCACAACTACAACTACCACAACCACCACAACCACAACGACCACCACAACCACCACGACCACAACAACCACCACAACCACAACGACCACCACGACCACCACGACAACGACCACCACCACCACGACCACCACGACCACCACGACAACGACCACCACCACCACGACTACAACAACCACGACCACGACAACCACCACGACCACCACCACCACCACAACTTCAGCCCCGAACTGCGGAGCTGTAACGTACATGGGCGGTGAGTTTTCGGGTGCCACAGCCGCCTCAGGGTGCACCGACCTCGCCTACGGATCAAACTGCTCAGTGACCATCGCGGCCCAGACCGGCAGTTTGGCCAAATGCCTTGCAGCTGGCACATACACCTTTGCATGCCCTGAGGCGGCTGGCGGGCAGACCTTCCTCATGGCTACGGAGGCCTACCTGCAGTGCAAGGTCTGCGCCGCGAGCTTCACTGATACCAACGACGGCACCGGAGTCTACTCAGGCATGCTGTACTTCGGGCAGAACATGCTGAACGGGGTTGTGGACGAGGCCCGTCTCGTGACTTCTGACTTCGTGTTGCGAACTTCGTGACCACGTGACATGTCGTGACTTCGTTAGTACCGAATCAAACTGCCCTAAACTCCCACTGCGTGTCTGACAAGAGGCCGACATCACTGCCTACACCGCCTTCGCTGTGGACGATTGCGGCGCCCCTGTCCTGGATGCGATGGGGGGTTTGACGCCACTGGGAACGGCACTCAAGGTGACCTCATCAGAGACGTGCTGTGACAGCACGAAGTATTCCATCGCCATCACCCTGACGAACCCTACCTACACCAAGATTGCGGTGGTGCCCAGCGACGGGGCAAACTTCTTGAAGGACGGTGTGATCGTTGATCTCATGGACCTCACTACTACCACCACAACCACCATGGGCGGCGGCGGAATCAGCGGCACCACCACCATGCACTTGGCCCCGGCTATGGCTCTTGGGCTGCTTGCCATCTCCAACTGAGCTACTGAGATCGGCGAGGCAATATGTCTCACCGGTCTCAGGTTGGAGAGAAGTAATGTTAGGATCGGCTGCAAGCCATTGCTGCTGGAGTCATTCTTATGTGTTGTGAAATATGAAAAAAAGCCGCAGTCCCCTTTCGAGGTGTCTGTGTGTGTGTGTGTGTACATGTTCTCTCTGCTGCATGGCTTGGCGCGACACGTCTCTTTCACTGGGAGTTTGAGCACCTGAGTTACAGGACCATCGCTACAACCCCAGAAACCCCTGAAGTTCTGGGCAGCTTGACTTGGGATGCTCCACTCTTCCTGGGACATTTTGCGCCTCCAGCATCAAGCCGGCGAAGTCGGTGAAGTCTCAGCTGGGGCCTTTTCAGCGTACTCCGCCACAACACACCGGGGCCTGGAATACCTGGGCCTACAGTGACTTGTGCAGAGGGACGAAAAGAGGCCTTTCTTGGGGGGGACCACAGGGAGCCGCGAGGTCCGCTTTCAGGATTTGTTGCGGGGAATGTCATGCCTACACGCGCCGGAGACCAAGGCGCCCATGACTCAGTATAGGTCATTCTAGGTCAGGTATGGGTTAGGTATGGTCAGCATACCAGAAGAGCCCGAAGAACTGTATGCAAACGCCAAAGCACGGGAATCCGTAGAAGTACGAGGGGGGGGGGGGGGTCCAGGGCGTGTGCCGCCGCGTCGAAGTGCGAGTCCGACAACGAGATGGATGGCACAGCCTTCCCTGCTTTTGAGCAAGTGGCATGCATGCGTGGGCACAGGCGCCACAAAAGCACGAAGCGCGAGAGTCTGCCAAAGCGGACCATGCCACAAGTTCCGCAGGGAGGTTGTTGGTTCAGCTCGACCTGCTTTTCTTCGAAGCGTTCGTTCGCCGGTGTATGCGACTCAAGCCGATTTGACAAGACTTGGGAGCACAGGCCGCTTAAGGTAGCTTCGTAGCATCTGCGCCATGGCCATGAAGATGATTTGCTCGGTTCTGCTGTCGCTGGCAAGCTTGGCAGCCTCCCAGACTTGCTGGGCGGGCATTCCATCCAGCATCACCGCCACACCAGGAATGACGGTGAAGACGATGACCACCGTCGCCGCCTGCACAACAACCACCATGACAACCGCCACAACTACAACTACCACAACCACCACAACCACAACGACCACCACAACCACCACGACCACAACAACCACCACAACCACAACGACCACCACGACCACCACGACAACGACCACCACCACCACGACCACCACGACCACCACGACAACGACCACCACCACCACGACTACAACAACCACGACCACGACAACCACCACGACCACCACCACCACCACAACTTCAGCCCCGAACTGCGGAGCTGTAACGTACATGGGCGGTGAGTTTTCGGGTGCCACAGCCGCCTCAGGGTGCACCGACCTCGCCTACGGATCAAACTGCTCAGTGACCATCGCGGCCCAGACCGGCAGTTTGGCCAAATGCCTTGCAGCTGGCACATACACCTTTGCATGCCCTGAGGCGGCTGGCGGGCAGACCTTCCTCATGGCTACGGAGGCCTACCTGCAGTGCAAGGTCTGCGCGGCGAGCTTCACTGATACCAACGACGGCACCGGAGTCTACTCAGGCATGCTGTACTTCGGGCAGAACATGCTGAACGGGGTTGTGGACGAGGCCCGTCTCGTGACTTCTGACTTCGTGTTGCGAACTTCGTGACCACGTGACATGTCGTGACTTCGTTAGTACCGAATCAAACTGCCCTAAACTCCCACTGCGTGTCTGACAAGAGGCCGACATCACTGCCTACACCGCCTTCGCTGTGGACGATTGCGGCGCCCCTGTCCTGGATGCGATGGGGGGTTTGACGCCACTGGGAACGGCACTCAAGGTGACCTCATCAGAGACGTGCTGTGACAGCACGAAGTATTCCATCGCCATCACCCTGACGAACCCTACCTACACCAAGATTGCGGTGGTGCCCAGCGACGGGGCAAACTTCTTGAAGGACGGTGTGATCGTTGATCTCATGGACCTCACTACTACCACCACAACCACCATGGGCGGCGGCGGAATCAGCGGCACCACCACCATGCACTTGGCCCCGGCTATGGCTCTTGGGCTGCTTGCCATCTCCAACTGAGCTACTGAGATCGGCGAGGCAATATGTCTCACCGGTCTCAGGTTGGAGAGAAGTAATGTTAGGATCGGCTGCAAGCCATTGCTGCTGGAGTCATTCTTATGTGTTGTGAAATATGAAAAAAAGCCGCAGTCCCCTTTCGAGGTGTCTCTGTGTGTGTGTGTGTACATGTTGTCTCTGCCGCATGGCTTGGCGCGACACGTCTCTTTCACTGGGAGTTTGAGCACCTGAGTTACAGGACCATCGCTACAACCCCAGAAACCCCTGAAGTTCTGGGCAGCTTGACTTGGGATGCTCCACTCTTCCTGGGACATTTTGCGCCTCCAGCATCAAGCCGGCGAAGTCGGTGAAGTCTCAGCTGGGGCCTTTTCAGCGTACTCCGCCACAACACACCGGGGCCTGGAATACCTGGGCCTACAGTGACTTGTGCAGAGGGACGAAAAGAGGCCTTTCTTGGGGGGGACCACAGGGAGCCGCGAGGTCCGCTTTCAGGATTTGTTGCGGGGAATGTCATGCCTAAACGCGCCGGAGACCAAGGCGCCCATGACTCAGTATAGGTCATTCTAGGTCAGGTATGGGTTAGGTATGGTCAGCATACCAGAAGAGCCCGAAGAACTGTATGCAAACGCCAAAGCACGGGAATCCGTAGAAGTACGAGGGGGGGGGAGGGGGGGGTCCAGGGCGTGTGCCGCCGCGTCGAAGTGCGAGTCCGACAACGAGATGGATGGCACAGCCTTCCCTGCTTTTGAGCAAGTGGCATGCATGCGTGGGCACAGGCGCCACAAAAGCACGAAGCGCGAGAGTCTGCCAAAGAGGACCATGCCACAAGTTCCGCAGGGAGGTTGTTGGTTCAGCTCGACCTGCTTTTCTTCGAAGCGTTCGTTCGCCGGTGTATGCGACTCAAGCCGATTTGACAAGACTTGGGAGCACAGGCCGCTTAAGGTAGCTTCGTAGCATCTGCGCCATGGCCATGAAGATGATTTGCTCGGTTCTGCTGTCGCTGGCAAGCTTGGCAGCCTCCCAGACTTGCTGGGCGGGCATTCCATCCAGCATCACCGCCACACCAGGAATGACGGTGAAGACGATGACCACCGTCGCCGCCTGCACAACAACCACCATGACAACCACCACAACTACAACTACCACAACCACCACAACCACAACGACCACCACAACCACCACGACCACAACAACCACCACAACCACAACGACCACCACGACCACCACGACAACGACCACCACCACCACGACCACCACGACCACCACGACAACGACCACCACCACCACGACTACAACAACCACGACCACGACAACCACCACGACCACCACCACCACCACAACTTCAGCCCCGAACTGCGGAGCTGTAACGTACATGGGCGGTGAGTTTTCGGGTGCCACAGCCGCCTCAGGGTGCACCGACCTCGCCTACGGATCAAACTGCTCAGTGACCATCGCGGCCCAGACCGGCAGTTTGGCCAAATGCCTTGCAGCTGGCACATACACCTTTGCATGCCCTGAGGCGGCTGGCGGGCAGACCTTCCTCATGGCTACGGAGGCCTACCTGCAGTGCAAGGTCTGCGCGGCGAGCTTCACTGATACCAACGACGGCACCGGAGTCTACTCAGGCATGCTGTACTTCGGGCAGAACATGCTGAACGGGGTTGTGGACGAGGCCCGTCTCGTGACTTCTGACTTCGTGTTGCGAACTTCGTGACCACGTGACATGTCGTGACTTCGTTAGTACCGAATCAAACTGCCCTAAACTCCCACTGCGTGTCTGACAAGAGGCCGACATCACCGCCTACACCGCCTTCGCTGTGGACGATTGCGGCGCCCCTGTCCTGGATGCGATGGGGGGTTTGACGCCACTGGGAACGGCACTCAAGGTGACCTCATCAGAGACGTGCTGTGACAGCACGAAGTATTCCATCGCCATCACCCTGACGAACCCTACCTACACCAAGATTGCGGTGGTGCCCAGCGACGGGGCAAACTTCTTGAAGGACGGTGTGATCGTTGATCTCATGGACCTCACTACTACCACCACAACCACCATGGGCGGCGGCGGAATCAGCGGCACCACCACCATGCACTTGGCCCCGGCTATGGCTCTTGGGCTGCTTGCCATCTCCAACTGAGCTACTGAGATCGGCGAGGCAATATGTCTCACCGGTCTCAGGTTGGAGAGAAGTAATGTTAGGATCGGCTGCAAGCCATTGCTGCTGGAGTCATTCTTATGTGTTGTGAAATATGAAAAAAAGCCGCAGTCCCCTTTCGAGGTGTCTGTGTGTGTGTGTGTACATGTTGTCTCTGCCGCATGGCTTGGCGCGACAAGTCTCTTTCACTGGGAGTTTGAGCACCTGAGTTACAGGACCATCGCTACAACCCCAGAAACCCCTGAAGTTCTGGGCAGCTTGACTTGGGATGCTCCACTCTTCCTGGGACATTTTGCGCCTCCAGCATCAAGCCGGCGAAGTCGGTGAAGTCTCAGCTGGGGCCTTTTCAGCGTACTCCGCCACAACACACCGGGGCCTGGAATACCTGGGCCTACAGTGACTTGTGCAGAGGGACGAAAAGAGGCCTTTCTTGGGGGGGACCACAGGGAGCCGCGAGGTCCGCTTTCAGGATTTGTTGCGGGGAATGTCATGCCTACATTGCCCCACCATTCCGTATACGAGACGACCTGGCACCGTTCTTCTTTAAGCGGACTTCCCGTCTTTTTCGAAGGTGTAGGGGAAGAACATGAGAGCCATTTCCTTGTCTGTTCTGAGCTGCGTTTCAGGTTTAGGGGCGGTTTATGACAGAAGTTTATAAGCCTGCATTTGGCAAATGACCCGATTTCCCCTCAACCCCCCCTTGTTGTGTTGCAACTATACGAGCTCTGGAGATTCAACTCTCCAAGATACAAGTCTCCTGTGATGGATGCCCGTCCGCAGCACGGCGAGGCGAGGCAATTGCGTTGCAAATCTGAAGCCCACAACCTCAAAACATCTGAAAATGAGTCTCACAACCGTCACAACCCGCGAAAGCCTGATGGACCTCAGGAGTCTCAAATTGAGGTGCTGGCTCTGCTGGCTCGCCCGCGGCCTGGTGCGCTCGGTGCCGAGAGGTGGAGGCGCTGTGCTTTCCTTCTCTTGCAACGCGCGAAGGTTCGATACGATTCAGTATTTACGGATTCCTGCAAAAAATGTGAGTTGCGCTTGAGTCTGCTCGAGGAACCTGCTCGTGCTGCACCCCATCTGACGGGTCGCCTCCTCTCGCGCAGGCCGGGGTGCCGGGGAGAAGCTTGGGCTTGGCGTGTGTTTGGATTCTTTGGTGTCCCTGTTCTTGCCTAGGTGCAGCTGAAGATCGACATTGCGATGCCTTACCCCAACTTTCGCAGCCCGCCAACAAGGGCTCACACAATCCAACAGGCTTGAAGCCGGAACTCACCACCTCGCGCAAATCTGGAGCTCACTCAGATCACCAAAGTGCCACCACAGCCCGGAGCATGGCAACTAGGGCCTCGCGATTGCTAGAATTCGTCCCATGGAGGGTCTGCACCAGTTCAGCCAATTCCTCCGCCGTGAGCCTCGCCATCCACTGCGAAGCATGCAGCGCAGCCCCTGCCTCCGTTGCCTGTTGCAGCGCATGGCGGATTCGCAACTTGTATCAGGAGTGAATCAGGAGCTCGGGGAGCGGCGGTGCCCTGCTGTGCGCCCCATCGCCTCAAAGTGCTGCCGCTCCTGATGCAAGGCGGAAGCTTTGCAGCTTTGCACCAGTCCTTCGGTTCTATAGCTGTGAGCCCGGGTGCTTGGATCCGACTCGCTGCTCATGCAGCATACAAGCTTCGCAGCCTGGGCCCGCTTCAAACGGAGGACTCGCGGCTGCTTCTCATCAGGGAGGGGAGCATGCCTGGCCGGCGTGGCGTTGACAGGGGACTCTTCAGCAGGAAGCTGGACCGCACTCGCCTGCGCAGCTGTGAGGCCATGGCTTGCTGACCTACCGCTGCGCAGCACGCCGCCTAGGCCTGCCACGCGCCTGGCCAGCTCGCTACGCCACCTAGCACGCAGCCTACACAGCGCGGGGCCGCGGCATTGCACGGCTGACTCGCGGCTGCTTTCTTCAGGTGGCATGCTAGGAGCCACGACGAGCCAGGTCGACAGGCGTTTGCAACTTTGACCAGTGCACTCACAGCGGGCTTTGCCCTTCGGATCCGCAGCCCACTCCTGTGGCCAGTGATCAAGCCCAAGCGCCACAGTTATTCCGCCTTCTTGAGTCCTGGGCCTGCGCAGCTGGCATGCCGACTCTGCAGCCAACGTGCACACAATCTCGCGCAGCTCGCGGACGACACTGCTGGCTGCACCTCCGCAAGCTCGTGAGCATTGCGAGCCACGCGCGCTCCCTGGGCTCCCTGGGTTTAAGCTGGGCCCGAGCGCACGAACTTGGCCACTTGGTGCAGTGAACTGGTGACTGGTGCAACCGCATGGTGAAGTGGGCCGGGCACCGTGCGATTGCTAGTGGCGGTTGCGGTTGCGCTTGTCGCACGGCTGTCTTTGACGATCCTGACCTTATAAAGCCTTTTTGAGAATGCCGTTCTAGTGCTTTCTTTTGAGCGCGCAAAACGCGCTTCGTGACCGGGGCTCAGACAACGGTGACCTCGGACGAGTTTCTTCTGACGAAGGCCGTGTCGTTTCCTTGGGAAAGACAGAGTTCTCACGCAATAGTTGGGTGCAGTGCCACAAAAAACAGACCGTTCCACACCCCCACCTCGCGCATAGTTGCATCTCCACCGAATATCCACAGGAGCCCCTGCATGGTGCATTTCATTGGGCACTGGGGTGTGCGGCTTCGGGCCAGCACTCCCAGCATCAGCGTGACTTGCCACAAGTAATCCTTTTCCAGGCCTCACGAACTCTGTTTTGCCTGGGAAGATGGGCCACTATAGTCACTAAGTGTCATCGCACAACAGCTTTTCGAGGAGCAACTTCGAGCGTCCTGCGGGTTCATGCTGCAACCTTGAATTTTCCCAAAGCGACACTTCCTGACATCAAGCTAGAGCCCCAAGCCCCAGAGCCCTACAGCGCTCCAGGCCTCGTTTGACAGAGGCAGAGGCAAAGGCATGCGCTCAATAGCTCTGTGAGTTAATGCTGTGCTCTTTCTTTCTTGGCAACCACGTCGTGCCCCAATCCTTTGTCGTTTCCCTGGGGGAGACAGAGCTCTCACGCAATAGTTGGGTGCGACCCCTGGTGAGCAGGGAAGCGATTTGCGGGGTACCCTCATCCTTTTCCAGGCCTCACGAACTCTGTTTTGCCTGGGAAGATGGGCCACGAAGTGTCGTCGCACAGCAGCTTTTCCAGAAGCAACTTCGACGAGCGTGCTGCGGGTTCATGCCTTCCCACACATCTTCCCATGGAGCCGTGTAATCCCTCCCGCCGGAAACAGTACGTGCAAGCCTTCTTACATCCCTTTTTTGCTTCGCGGTACCCTGCTGGCCCTGGCACAACCCTTCGAGAGCAGCGGGTGACCTGTTTGCTAGTACGGCCCGTACGGCGGTTTGAGGTTTGCAGGGGTTCACGGAACCCCTCCCACCTTCCCAATAGTTTCAGGCAACCACCCTTACCCTTCGCATGACCCTTCCCTTCACACAGCTTCGTGGTGCGCAGATTTTGCCTGGGTCGGCGGCAATCATTCTTAGATGACCTGGGTGGCAACCTACATCTGCTTATATGAGCAAGCACCAAGACGTCCAGCCATTCAAGCAAGAAGGGGTGGACACATGCCCAAAACCCTGTAAAGCGATGCAAACACCTGAACAGCGACACCCCCTCTCCCACTTCAATGACACGCTGTGGCCATGGTGGGCCACAGCCTTGAGAACTTTCCCCGAAGCGACACCTTCAGACATCCAAAGTGGGTAGCTGATGCTAAAACCCTGGAAAGCGATGGGCTCGCTTGAAAAGCGACACCCCTCATGTGTTCGCCCATTAGCACTGCAAGCCAGCCGACTTTAGCAATATCAGGATGAAATGACTGTATACAGGTGGCATCTGGAGCCGCGGATGCCCACGGCGACAGGAATAGGGGCAAAGTTCCGCAACGGAGTATGCTCCGGCCCACGCGAGCAGCCGCAGCACTGCAGTCCCAAAGGCTTGGTCGGGATGAAGGGGAAATGCCGGAAAGCCACAAAGCCAGCGCTCGAGGCCTCGACAGAGGCAGAGGCAGAGGAATGCGCTCAATAGCTTTGTGAGTTAATGCTGTGCTGTCTGGGACACATGGGCATGGCGGCAGCTTTGCAACATTGGCCCCATTGGCCATGCGGGCGGCTAGCACGTACACACTTGTTTTCCCCGCCATGTAAAAAGGTGCCCAGGTGCATTAGGCCACTTCCCGAGATTCCGTGTCGAAGGCCAGGGGCCTTCCCTGCAATTGTTTTTTTTGGATGCATCCAACTCGTGAGACAGGCACCAGCTCTAGCCGCGGCAAGGCAGCACTCTTTTCTTTTCAAGAGGTTTCACGCTACGCGTTTCGCCAACTGGTGGCTCTTCGAGCTTCTCTTGAAGCAGAAAGCTGCACATGTGGCAACATGCCTGAAGCAAGATAGCATCAGGGCAACGTGTCACACAAGAATGACTGCAGCGACTGGTTGTTTAGAGGCATCTAAACACCAGATGCATCCAACAAACCGTTCCCACTACACAGGCCTTCCAGGACGTAACAGGGAGCCTTCAATTGGGCTCTGCTCTCGGTCCTTCAACCCTGCTTTCTACCGATACTGGGATGTCCTCTGGAGGTGAGGTCCTCATCAGCGTGCTTTTTGTAAGATCTCTGTGAAATGAAGCTTGGGAGGAGGGTGGCTTCCCTGTGGCCATGACTCAGAGTTCAAGTCGCCTTGGGTATTGCACGCATGGCAAGCGCCCCCCGGCTACCCTAAAGCTAAAGGGACGTGTGCTTGTCTCACCAGTGCAATCGCACAGCACCCCAAACGGCTCTTAAATCGCTGCCGCGCAAACTTGCAATCTCGCTCGGCGAAGCCTCTCAATCCACAGTCGGTGGGGTGGGCCAGTGGGAATGGCCCCGCACGCCGAGCCGGCTCGCTGCTTCTCAACATAACGGAGATCCCGGATCCATCTACAAGCTGTGAGGGCTGTGCATGAGGTCCTTTGACATCGCCTCTAAATGAAGCAGACATTCCAGCTTGCGGCGCGGCTTCGCGAATTCAGCCGCGAAAGTGAAGGGGTATGTTGAAAGACCAATCGCCTGACAATGCCCGACGAAGTGTGATTTAGTGAGAGCGGTAAGCGGGGCTCTGACCAAGTCTCGTGCCATTGCCCTTCTTGCGGGCAAGATGTTGACGTGCGGGAAGAGACACCTGAGACCCGTAGCCGATCAGAGTAGAGCACTTCTAGAACTTCTAGAGCACACATGAGCACAAGAAGCCAGAAGCTTGGGGCCATCCTGGGAAGCCCTGAGGTGCCTTGATATGCCGGTGCCTTTTGCTCGGAGGGCCTTGCTTGGGGCTGTGTGTCCTTGTCGTGCTCGTCTCACGCCCTCAGAAGTAGGAGGTAGCGACGAGCTTTAAGAATCAGAAGCTCTGCATGGCCTCCGCTCAATGAGTTTGGCCTGAAACTATGTCTCTCGTTTGGCTCGAGCGGCATGGACTATGCAACTCTGGAGCGGCGCGTGCAGACTTACTTCAGCTGCAGGGATCTGCGAGGCGCATCGCCCAAGAAGTGTCAGGGCAGCTCGACCTGAAGAGTCGAAAACTCCCTAGCCTGAGGTGTTTGGTCTGCGAGGATGGGCCAGTATAACAGAGTCCTATCGGATTGCACCTGCAGTGTGGCTTCAGTAGCTGTGCCGGCGACTCCAATCAGGCGACTGCCAGGTCCTGTACAAAGCACAGCCCAGTGAGGCTCTCGTGCCCGAGACGAATCTGAGCCTCGGACTTGGCCTATACTTGTATATTGGGCCTGGGAGGTGAGTCGCTGCCAGGTACTTTGTGAGCCAAGGCTCCGGACACGCCGCACGGAAAGACGCCACAAACTTAATGGGCACCGAGTGAGCTACAGCTCCTTCAGGCTTCCGCGAGTGCACACGGGCGTTCCTTCTGCCGTTCGGCGATCTGCGCTTTGCTCTCTCCTGTAATCGGAAGTGACTGCCGCGAGGCTTCAACTTCGTGGGCGCACCTCAGATCACCGCAAGAAACCAAATTGTGAGTTTTTGCAACCTCAATGCCTTGCCTTAAGCCCCACGAAGAGCTCCCCCGAGACATCAAATGCCTAAACCTGGTCTGCATCAACGCAGAGGATAACATGCAGCATGCAGCTTCAAAGGTGATCAAACTCGCTTCATGTTGTGTCCTCAACACGTAGACAGCCCCGAAACACTCTAAATCACTGAGCGCCGAACTCTAAATCACAAGGGCATCGGCTTATGGCGGTGTAGATGCTGCTCCCTGCTGCCTTGAGGCACCAACTTCCTGGGGGGCAGACGCACAGATCTTCAGTCCAGAGCACACATGTTCGACATCTACACAGCTGTTACACACCCCCTTCTTGAAGTAGGCATTGCAACTCCCAGGCCTGGGGCGTCTAGGGCTTACAGTGGTTACAGCCCACCCGCAAATCTCCAAGCCATCAAAGATACTCGCTTGGTCTCCAGGACGGGCGTGCCAAAGCGGAGACGGAGGTGCAGCAAATAGGAACGTGCTCGAACAGAGCCCCCCCCCCTGTGCTGAGTTTCGTCTGGCACCGTATGACAAAGGCTTCTGGTTGTGCTGTGAGTCAAGCGGAAGGAAGCACCACACCAGATGCCCAGGGGATCCATGTATGCCTCAACGCCCCCTATAAGAAGCCTTCTAGGCCTCAAGACCGGCAATTTGCCTCGATGGGGAATTACAAGCCCTTTGAGCTTTATCTTTGTGCACGGAGACTCAGGCGATCTCAGGTGCTTGGGCAGCTGCAGCGAGCGTGCGTTTTGCGGGGTGCACGCTTTGCGGGGTTGAGAGTGTGCTCGGCTGCCCGTGCAGTCTTACGACGTCGTGCAGCGTGGACAGCTGGCATGCATCCGGCGCGAAGTTCATAAGCCTTCCATTGAGCCGTGCTGATGGCACTTGGCGAATCATAGGCGTTGTGAAGTTGCCTCACCGCCCCCCAGACCGCCGGCCCCTCTCCTCCCGACAGTGGGCTTTTGCCGGGCAGCCAGAATGTAGACCTAAATCCAATCTGTCAATTCCGTCACGGCCTGTAACAGGCCCCGGGCGGGCACTGCACAACAAGGCTTGTCACAAAAGCCGGTTTTTGCGACAAGGCGTGCGCGACAAGGCTACCTTGTATTCCTAATGGGGAGGTGGCTCCCATCTTGCCAAGCGACAAAGCCTTGAATCGAAGCTGGCGCGACCAGGGCTTATAACAAGGTGTTGAGCCATGCTTATGTCTCCTTCTAAGCACAGAAACACACTGAAACTGTAACAGGCTCCTTGAGGTCCCCAAAATTTGTTGGGTGGGCACCCAGAATGTAAGAATGTAAGGGATGCCATCTTGAGAAAGAATCGGAGAGTGCGGCGCAGTTTGGGCAGCGGCTTCGCCCCGAGTGTGCAGCGCAAGGCAAAGCAAAACTCTTTTCAAATTGCTCAATAAGCTTAATAACTTCTCGCCCTATACAAAACCCCTAAAAATAAAGGCCTTTGCAAGGGAGACTCCCCAGGATCATAGCTGATTGGTTGAACCAGAGCCCTTACTCCCGGATCGTTTTTTCAGAGGACTAGCTACTCAGGGTCTTGTCTCAGGAAAGTGCCCCGCCTTTTTCCCGCGTTGGCCTTGCACAGACCGGCGTGGAATCGGGTGCAATCTGCAAAAGTGCACTTGGCGGGAAACTCATGTGCATGCCTGCCGGAAGATTGCAGACATAACCAGACCACATGTTTCATTTCCGCTGCCCTCAGGGCCCATTGCATGCCGGAGCCTGCTCTTGCAGGGCTCCATTTCAGTGCGTCCTGTGTGAAAAAGGCAGCTTGACAACGCGCGCCTGAGCGGCGCCGACTTCCGGCTTGCGGAAGCTGGAAGCCCAACCCGAAAAGGCTGCATACAGCCAATGCTTCCCAGGTGAACTGCTACCGTCTTCCCTTTCAAGGCTTCCAGCTTTGAGAAGCGATGAGGATCCAACTTTGGGGATAAAAAGGGGCCCAACGAGCCTTGAGTGTCACATCTCTCCCCAGGTGTGCAACGCGAGGGCCCCTGGAATCCAACAGAGGAGTTTTCAAAGCATTGTCGGCTTTGCGGAGGGGTGCTCTGAACAACATGGCCGCCCACAAAGATCGCCAGACCTGAAGCCTTTCGCATGAAAGGCGGCTCAGGAAGGGTCAAAACCCGAATCGTTCTCTTTTCGGGCGCCCGGGCACCCGGTAGTTCCACACGCTGCTCAAGAAAATTCAATGATACCTAGAGAAAACGGGCTTCTCCACTCTGCAATGCGACCTAAGCAGCCCCACGGTCCGGTGAACCTTTGCTTCTGAGCCTGGCTTGGGATGCTCCGCTCCTGGTGCTGGACAATCCGTACACAGGCACGCTCCCAACGCGAGCCACTCAGCTCGCAGCGTCTTGAAAAGCGTCACTTGATAAGCTCTGCAGCTCCCGATGCCATGGCGCTGACCAAAACACCGCCGAGCTGTCTGAAGCTCACGGCGCTGTTTTTCGGGGAAGGCCGCTACTCTGGTCTACTCCGGTAGGGCACCGGAACCATGGGGACCTCTAAGATCTCTGGGATGCTCTGTGCCTACGCAGAAAAAAGACCGGTGTGAGTGAATAAGAACAGACCATGGAGCCTTCACTCAGTACTCGTATGTCAGTATGGGTCAGGTCCGTCTATGTTATGTTTCGTCGTGTTGTGAAAGGCGTGCCAGAGGAGCCTGAAGAACTGGACACGGCATCTGCAAACTCCTTAAAGATTCACCGCCGCGGCCCGACAATACTGTAGGGGTCCCAAGTACGGGGACCCGTAGAAGTCCGAGGGGGTGGGGGCTTCCTAGGCGTGCGGTGGTCGAAGTACGATTCGCCCCGACAACGAGATGGCGCAGCCTTCCCTGCTTTTGAGCAGGTGAGGGGTTGGGAGATGTTGGGAAGTTGGGGTGGGCATGGGTGGGCACGGGCGCCACAAAAGCACGAAGCGCAGGAGTCTGCCAAGCGGACCATGCCACAAGTTCCGCAGGGAGGTTGTTGGTTCAGCTCGACCTGCTTTTCTTCGAAGCGTTCGTTCGCCGATGTATGCGACTCAAGCCGATTTGACAAGACTTGGGAGCACAGGCCGCTTAAGGTAGCTTCGTAGCATCTGCGCCATGGCCATGAAGATGATTTGCTCGGTTCTGCTGTCGCTGGCAAGCTTGGCAGCCTCCCAGACTTGCTGGGCGGGCATTCCATCCAGCATCACCGCCACACCAGGAATGACGGTGAAGACGATGACCACCGTCGCCGCCTGCACAACAACCACCATGACAACCACCACAACTACAACTACCACAACCACCACAACCACAACGACCACCACAACCACCACGACCACAACAACCACCACAACCACAACGACCACCACGACCACCACGACAACGACCACCACCACCACGACCACCACGACCACCACGACAACGACCACCACCACCACGACTACAACAACCACGACCACGACAACCACCACGACCACCACCACCACCACAACTTCAGCCCCGAACTGCGGAGCTGTAACGTACATGGGCGGTGAGTTTTCGGGTGCCACAGCCGCCTCAGGGTGCACCGACCTCGCCTACGGATCAAACTGCTCAGTGACCATCGCGGCCCAGACCGGCAGTTTGGCCAAATGCCTTGCAGCTGGCACATACACCTTTGCATGCCCTGAGGCGGCTGGCGGGCAGACCTTCCTCATGGCTACGGAGGCCTACCTGCAGTGCAAGGTCTGCGCGGCGAGCTTCACTGATACCAACGACGGCACCGGAGTCTACTCAGGCATGCTGTACTTCGGGCAGAACATGCTGAACGGGGTTGTGGACGAGGCCCGTCTCGTGACTTCTGACTTCGTGTTGCGAACTTCGTGACCACGTGACATGTCGTGACTTCGTTAGTACCGAATCAAACTGCCCTAAACTCCCACTGCGTGTCTGACAAGAGGCCGACATCACCGCCTACACCGCCTTCGCTGTGGACGATTGCGGCGCCCCTGTCCTGGATGCGATGGGGGGTTTGACGCCACTGGGAACGGCACTCAAGGTGACCTCATCAGAGACGTGCTGTGACAGCATGAAGTATTCCATCGCCATCACCCTGACGAACCCTACCTACACCAAGATTGCGGTGGTGCCCAGCGACGGGGCAAACTTCTTGAAGGACGGTGTCATCGTTGATCTCATGGACCTCACTACCACCACCACTACAACCACCATGGCCGGCGGCGGAATCAGCGGCACCACCACCACGCACTTGGCCCCGGCTATGGCTCTTGGGCTGCTTGCCATCTCCAACTGAGCTCCAGCTGAGATCTGTGAGGCAAAAGTTCTCACTGGTCTCAGCTTGCAGCGTGAGAGCAGAAACTGACAAATGTCGAGGGAATTCATGTCAGGATCGGCTGCAAGCCATTGCTGCTGGAGTCATTATTATGTGTTGTGAAGCCATCGTGTTCCAGGGCAGCAGTCCCCTTTCGAAGTGTGTGTGTGTGTGTGTAGATGTGTCTCCATTGCATGGCTTGACGACACGTTTCACAGATTTCACGGAGCCCTTCAACGACACAACGACACGACGACCGAGTACGGTGCTGGCCCTGCCCTGCGCGAGTCTTTTTGTTGTTTAGGGGTGTGAACTGCAGGCCATACGAAGGGTGGGTAGGTTTTTTCTCATGTAAATTAGTAAAGAACATGCCAATATATAGAATCATAATGAGATATCTGAACGTAGCATAGGGTGTTGGAAAGGTGTCAGGGCAGGGAAAGCTTCTTGGACTGAAGAGCGGCGAACAACCGCACGGCAGCTCCGGACCTGAGCAGCAAAAGCTGGGCGCCACTGTTACATCTATGCCTCAGCATCACAGGACAGTGATTCAGATTGATTCAGGAGCCGTTCCTGCTCTGAGCTTCCTTTCTGGCTTATCCCGCTTGAACAGTATCAGAAGCTTGAGCAAATAGAGGATACTTTGGCAGAGTCAGGTGCTATGAAGGCACGAAGGCGTAGACTTGGCATCTTCTTCGTGGTGACAAAGTTCAAACCGTGACAGCTTCTTATAAGCTTTCAAGCCTCAGATGTTCAGCCGATGCCTCGCTCCTTTGCCAATGCGGCGCCTGTGCAAGTTCGGAGCTCATGCCCAGAGCAAGGAGCTGCAAGGACTCTGACTCTGAAGGCTGGGAGTGTCGGAAAGTTAGCAGCACACCGCTTTGTCTCGTTCAGACTGAGGGATCATTCGCAGCCATTTTGGCTCTCAAGATTGCAGCGTTGGCTGGCCAGACACGTTTGAGAAATGCCTGCCAGGGTAGCCATGCCGTCAAGATCCCGGCGCGTCACGCTGCTGGCAGCATTCCTGACAGTGGCGGTCTCATCACTAGCTTTCAAGATTCCTTTCTGCCAAGGGCTAACAGGAACGCGAGGACCACCACCGAGGGCCAGCAGCTTGGCACGTGAAGTGGGCCATTACGGCAGAGCCCATAATGGAGCCCACCTTAGTGCCTCGCAGAAGGCGGCCTTAGAGGAGATTGCTGAAGCAATCGGAACGCCCGGAAAGGGAATCACTGCTACGGATGAAGGCCCGCTCACTGTTGGCGGTCGCTTTGAAGCAGTTGGTGTTGAGAACACCGAAGAGAATCGCCGAACCTACAGGCAGATGCTCTACACGGCGAAGGGTGCGAACAAGTACCTCTCTGCCGCAATCCTTGACCCCGAGACTGTCTTTCAAAAAAGTGACGACGGAGTGCCATTTCCGAAAGTCTGCTCTGACCTGGGCATTGTCCCCGGCGTGAAGCCGCACTTGAAGATCTACTCCTTACCTGGCACAGCGGACGGCGAGACAGTGATGCAGGGCCTTGATAGCCTCGCAGCGCGCTGCAAAGAGTACCGAGAAGCTGGATGCCGCTTTGCAAAGTGGCGCTCGCCATTGGAGGTGAGTGAAGGGGAGATCTCCCGTCTTTGCATTGAGGCAAACATGCACGATCTGGCACGCTACGCCCTCATTTGTCAGGATGAGGGCCTCGTGCCGATTGTGGAGCCAGACATCTCCCTGAAAGGTGATCATGACCTGGAAACAGCCGTCCGTGTCAATGTCGAGGTCCAGTCAGAGCTCTACAAGGCCATGATCGATCATGGTGTCTTCATGGAAGGGGCGGTGTTGAAGTCCAACATGGTGAACCCTGGCAAAGCTTGCAAGACAGCGTACACCTGTGAGGAGATTGCACAGGCCAACGTTGAGGTTCTTCAGCGTTGTATGCCTGTGTCGATCCGTACTGCGAACTACTTGTCTGGTGGTCAGTCATTGGAGGATGCATCTGCGCGCCTGAACGCCATCAACCGCCATTCCGGAAAGAAGCCATGGAACCTGTCCTTCTCATGGAGCGCAGCATTGCAGCTTCCCTTGCTCGAGCTGTGCAAGGGCAAAGGCTCCCTACAGCTTGAGGAGATGGAGGAGCTCTATCTCAAGGAGCTGGCCATTGCAAGTGCAGCAGCCAAGGGTGAACACAGTCCTGCGGCTGGCGACGGCGATCACACGCCACCACCCTAGCCGAGAAACACTCGGCACTCGGCTTTTTCCAGAAAACAAGGGGGGCATTTAGAAGGGCAGAAGGGCAAAGGCTCTGCAGCTTTCGAGATGGAGAAAGAGCTCCATCTGAGAGCCATTTGCGAGGCCAAGGCAGCAAAAGGTGACGCACAGCTGTGAATAAGTATATAGCCATCGGAGCACTCAGACTGTGTTGCGAGGGGCTGGTCATGCTGTGCGCAGGTTCTGGCGATTCTGGACCTGAGGCGGTGCTGACCTCAGTGGCCCTTTGAGTGCAGGCTTGTTGGATGCTTTCGTCAAATGCTTTGTGTTGGATTGCGCTCAGAGTTCCTGAGTTTTCGAAGCCTGTCACAGGAGTGCAACCTAGCACCGCGCTGCGAAGGCACATGGCCCTCCTCCGTCAAAGACGTTGAGGACTTTAAGGTCCAACCTGCGAAAAGCGTGGGTCCGCCCTTTTTCGGACATGAAGGCCTTGCAAGAAATTTTTAAAATGGCTTTTGCAAGCCAAAAGCCCGAAAGCGCTGCTGCACACGGGGTTTATAGAAGATATTGCTGATACTGGGTTCGCCCAACGCTGCGCCCAGGTGTTACGCCAACTGTGACATCCAGCATTTTGAATGGTAACGTCGTACTTCCTTGCATTCAGGTGGCTGACATGGCTTTGGGTTGCGATTGTTACCTTCGATGACATTGGCCATTTTTTGTCCCAAGCATGGAACATGTTCGCTCTTTCCCGCCGTTTTATGAAAGGCACAGTGGACAAATATTTCTTATCAGTTTTCCACATCCGGATCGGCAAACAGGTCAAGAGCCTTGGCTCCACAGACTGGGCGGCGCGAAGCAAAATTTACAGACGTACGGCGAACGCCATGGCAGGGGTAGGATGTGGGATTTCGCGGGCAGTCGATAGGTACCTTGAGCAGGAGCCAGGACAGACACGTGGAGAGCGCCCGTAACTTCAGACTTGGGTTTGCGCGCCCTATCACAAACATAACATAAGATGTCATTCTCTTTGCTGTGGGGTCCGACGCATGAAAAAAGTTGGGCGCATGCTAGTCCAGTCAGTGAAGTCGTTGAAGCAGGCGTGCCCCAGCATTCCGCATTGCCATTTGTTTCTCGGCAAGGTTCGCTTCCTGCCTAGCTCATTGCAGTCATGGCATTTTCGCAAGGTTTTCTAGCTTGGCTCTGGGTTTTAGGATGTGCTGAGAATCCAGGAACATGCAGAAACGATCGCAGTCACAAAGCGACTTACGCTTTCGGCGCAATGGCTGCTTTTCTCGAAACTGGTGTGCAGGACCTGCTGCGAAGTCATTGTTTGCAAACTGTTGGGGTGACATCCGCATTTTTTTTAGGTCGATTTTTGTGGGTGCTTGCGTGTCTCGGAAGTGCGAGCAGAACATCTTCCCTTCCCAACGCGCGCGTCCATTCGGCACCCCCCCACATCCCCTTTTGGCTGGGTCTCTTGCTGTTGCGCCAGTGTGGGTGCTTTTTGGAGGGCCATGGGTGGATTGATAGACACACTTCGTTTTTCTCGCTTCAACTCGATAAGACTGCCGCAAGGTCCGATGATGCATCGTTTTGTTGTTCGAGTCGGCGGCATGGGGTCCCCCACGTAAAGCAAAGCTGCATAAAACATCGAGACCCCAATAGTGTGCCCAATTCGTTGCATTTACCCACTGATGAATCGTAGCCGCAGAAACGGGCTACTTCATTACTTCACCATCCAGATTTGTAACTTGCTATTGCCACCTGCTAAACTGCTAAAAATCCCCCTTTGTTTTCTGAGGCACCGGGTTGCATGTAGCCGTCTACACTGCAAGTCGCCTCTGCAGGAGCTTCAGAAGCAGAAAAAAGCGGCGGAAGAATGCGCGGGTGGTACTGATCAGCCGCCAGGCTGCGATTGGAGCATGGTTTTAGCAGAGTTTGTCCATAGCTTTCCACACAGGCAGCCCGATGAATCACATGGCTGCACATGCGCTCTTCATGAACCATTCGGACACTCCCTGCGCATCTTGTAGCAGCAAAGCCCGGCAAGCTCAGGCTAGGGTCAGACGACGTCCGCGCCGTCGTTGCCGCACAACACAAAGAAGTTTTAGAATGTCTTCGACAACAAGATGACAAGCTTGAAGCTGGGACCTGTTGATTTTTACGTAGGATTCTTATTTTGCAGGTTGTACAAACGCACAAGCGTGAAAAGACAGTAAAATGTTAAAACCTGGAGTGAAACTTGAGAAGCAAGCCGGCCACACCCCAGGAGAGGCTCCTGGCTGCTTCCTTTTTCAGGTCACGCGCGCGCACCCACAACGGGCAAAACGGGGCCCTACAAGGCTCCCGGATCTCACACAGATCCCAGCTGTCGCGTGACTCGAAGGTCGGGGCCGAAGACATCTTTCCACAAGCCACGGCCGAGTTTGATGAAGTTGGCCCTCGCTTAGATGTAAACTCAAATGTCTCAATGCCCTCATTATTTGTGAGTTATGCACAGACAGACTTGCAGCACAAGACCCACGCCCTGGAAGTCGGAGCAAAAAGTGTGAGAAGGCGTTTCGCTTCACTCCGAGTCTCTCCAGCTTTTCAAGGCAGTGCAAATCAGTTCTGGAAGAATTTCGTCACGCATCCGGCATTTGAAATCTTCTTCGGAATGGTGGTCCTCACCAATGCTGTGTTTATCGGTATTGACATTCAGAACGGTCTTGGGACATCCTCCACGCAGCAGGATTATGCAACGCTGCGGAAACTCGGCAGACAATATGCAGCTGCGGTTTTGAGGTTTGTTGCTCTAGCTACAGAGTCTGACGGTTGCTCATGCTTCCACAAGAAGCTAAGGCTAGGAGAAACAGACTTTGTGGGACCTCAGAGCGTTTAAGACTTTAAGATTCTTAGCCTTTGTGATTTTTCTAGATGGCATGGGCGGAAATCTCAGAGGAGCCCCATATGAAACATGCACCGCTTTCAGCCGCCGCGATCTGCAGCGGCAGCTCCCAGCTTAGGTACATCTATGCCGCTTGTTTTACTTTGGAGCTCTTGGCGCGTTTGTTGGCTTTTGGTCTGGGGCTTTTCCTATCTGACGATGGTCTTTGGAGCGTTTTGGATGTCATCATCGTCTGCAGCTTCTTGGGCTTCCGAGCTAAGCATTCTTTTGGGGGAACTTCAACTTTCAGCTGAAAGAAGAAGCTCTGCCCTCAGAAGTTCCTCCTTTTACTTCCAGGCTCATGGTGGGACATCGGCCTCGATATCGCGGAACGTGTGATGCAAGATGCGGAGGTCGGAGAGGTCGGGGCTCTTCCGGGGATCTCCTCCTTGAAGGCTTTTCGTGTGCTACGGATCACGAAGATCGTGAAAACCCTGAGATTGGCTCCCAAGCTCAAGTTAAGTGCTGTTTCTTGTTGCCTTCCATCGGCCCCTTGCTTTTTAGGGGGGTGGATGTTTTGGGGCCAATATGGAAGCAGGTTTGTTTACTAGAGCCTTCAGAGCTGAGCTGGATCGCACCACGGAGAGCAATACCCAGGTTCGGATATTCCGATTCGTCATGGCCTTGCGCACGCTGGTCACATCCATCTTTCACACGCTGAAGTCACTGTTCTGGGCGCTGCTCCTCCTGGTCATCATCGTCTACGTCTTTGGTGTCATCTTTGTCCAGGTCCGGAAGCACGGCTAATCTAGGCGGAGGGCTCTTTCCATCTGCTTTAGACCTTATAGAGTTCGGCTTTCAACAATGGACTTTGGTTGAGAACACCATTTGACCGATTGCCTTCTAGTCCTTGGGTGCTGAAACAAGTAGAAGGCGGTCGGCGGGTCGTAATCATGAGAAATAATGCTTGGCGCCTGCCGCTTTTGTCGGCGGCGGGGGGTGACATGCTTCCGTATGCTTTCCTTACTAGTTGCGCTTTTCGCCTTCTTACGTTGACCTGCCCCCCACCCCCCCAGATGCGCCCAAAACATCCTGAAACCTCTTGGGCCATAGGAATCAACAGTTCAAGATGGAATCGAACTTATCAGCTACTTTCGGAGCGGAGCCCCAAGCAATGCTTTCTGTGGGGGTCGCCCACGGAAATGTGAACAGCTTGTAAATGGGGTTCGGGACGGTAAGATTCCCTCTGCGGAACCCTAAGCTCGATCTGCAAGCCTGAATTTTGATTCGAGAACCCCAGGAAAACAAAATGCTCTACTGCTCCTGCTCCTACTACCACCACCATTCCATCATCCCATCTCCCTAGCCCCTTACCCCCGGCGAGACACCACGCGTGCCAGCCAGCGTTGCTTTGATGCCCATGGTGAGTCTTGAGCACACGAACAATAAGAGAGTGCACGACACCGCAATTTCGGCCCTGAACGAAGCACTGCAAAATCCCCCTGCAGCCGATGCAGGAAGCCATGCCAACCTTTTCAAGAGCCCGAAATGCAGTCATGCAGGTGCATCCTGCCACGTACAACATGGTACAGGTTGCAAGCAACAGTGCAAGCGGGGACCCAGGCGCCCCTCTGCTAGAGCATCGCGAGGGCACGCGGAGACACCGAGCGAGGATGATCCTTCGCCACGAATCAATGACTCCTCGGGGAGCATCGCGGCCCTCTGGAAACACGAGGGTCATCGATTTTTCCCGTGATCGCCCCGCAGCGAATTAAAATCTCCTACCACGAACCCGAACGTGCAAGAGCAGTGTTTGCAGCAAACTGGGACAAACACCTGCATCAGAAGAAGCTTTTGTGTTGGGCCGCTGCATGAACACCCCCCCACCTCCTGTGACGGGCATAGCGCTGAAGGTTCTTCGTTGGTAAGAAACCGGTTGTCAACCGCAGTTACTCTGACACTCAGCAACGAGCACGTTCAGGGACGAAATGTACTAGGAGCTTGAACTCTACAAGCATTTTCCTTTCGATTATGCAGTGGCAGCTTGCTTTCGCCCGTGTAAGCTCTGCAAACTACCTTCGAGCTGAAGCGAGGTCATCTGCGTATTGGCCATGTGCGGAGGGGGGTTAATTTCTACAGATACGGCTGCATAAACAAATAAAGCCTACCTCGCGGATAGCATTCGACAAGAGAATAGATGGATGTAAATGCATCACGCGTTGATGTCATGAGGCATAGTGGACACCATGAGGGTTGGGGCTTCACGTTCAATGGGCCTCCCACACAATCGATATCATAATGCAAACCTCATCCCTAAGAGAGATGTACAGAGCTGTGGTCTCGGCGCTTCTCTTCAGGCCGTGGATGAGTACATCATGGATAGCAATCCACCGTCGCAGACCATACTGCTCGCGAGGAGTCGCTTCTTTTCCTCATTGCCTGAGACCATGCTGAGTCTCTACATGAGCATCCTTGGCGGCGTTAGCTGGGAAGAGATGGTGGTTCCTTTGGGAAGCATGTCTCCCGTCTGGCTGCTCCTGTTCCTCTTTTATATTTCTTTTGCATACCTAGCTGTGCTCAACGTGATTACTGGAGCCCCTTGGCCCTTTGAGAAGCATACGCTGTCGCCTTTTTGTTTTGGGTTTCTGCTTCTTCCTTCTTGTTTTTTTTCGAATCCAGGCTTGAAGTCAACTCTTAGCCCGCAAAAAGACCATGACGTGGTGCAGCTGAGGTCTTCTGCCAATCGGCCGCTTGAATTGAATCATCCCCCCTCAACGCACCACAATGTTCTGCGGTAAGGGCCATTTTCTCCAAAGGAGTAGACGGGGCATGGGATCCTTCAGAGCCTTGCAGTGCTCGTGCCAGGGGGTTAACAGTCTTTGCACATTGGGTTTCCAGCTGTGGCACGGTTTCAGCCGTCTTGACCTTGACTTGCACTCAACAGTTTTTGGGTCCGATCCGCACCGCTGAAAAAAGTCAGCAACCCGGCTTTTGAGCAGTTTCAATGTTTCAAGCTTCCCGAAAGGCTTGCAAACATTCATTCTTGAACGTGTTTCTGCAATAACGGAGAAGGCAAGTAACGACGAACTCCGGGGATAGTAATGTGGTGGTAGTACAATGGGTGCATTCAACATGAAACGGGGATGCTACACGAAGGGGGGGGGTACTCTTGGGAATTTTCTGGATTGCAGGGTTTGCGGGGGCCGTCCGTTTCGGCCCCAAGCTTTCACACATTTGCACGTTCCAAACGCTTGCCGGTGGCACACAAGGCCGTGAGATAACATCGAGAAACGGATAGGGCAGCAATTTCGGAAACAGATCAGGAGCAGCGAAACAGGAGGGGGGGGTGTCGACAGATAAGCCGATCCGCATCCAAACCAAACCCGGCGCGGGCTGTGGGGAACCGCAAACGGCCTCGACTCAAAACAGAAGCCCTGAAACTGGCATAAACCAGCTGGGTCCTCTCCCCCACCCCACAGAGTCCAAATCACCGGGGCGAATGTCTTGTTGGCCCGCTCCCAGTCCCAAACACCTCAAACCCAGACAACCCCATAGCAGCCATAGCACTTGTCTGCGCACCAACGCCATTCGGCCGTCAAAATCTCAGTGTGACCTTACTCGTCTGGATGGGGATGTTCAGAAACTCAGTCAATTTTTAAGCAACCACACCGACTTCCATGAAGCAAGCACGTGACCATGGTTTTGAGGCTTGGGGTAGGAGAGAGACTAGTAGAAACAGTCATCCAGAAACTCGACTCCGTCAGCATAGCGACGACTGACAGTTTGGCAGATGTGCCGCATCAAAGTTTGCTTGATGCTTGGGAGGCAATCGAGTCTGCGCAGAGTGATCATGCAGCCATCGTCCAAGCCACTGGGGTATGTCTGGTCTGAAGATCTTTTCTTTACTGCTGCGCAAAACAGAGAGACACCGCAAGAGTTTGAGATGCCATTGTGCCGTTGCCCAGGCAATCTTAGCCAACAAGCACGCTCACTTGGAGAAGATCCGTGAGCTCTTTGGCAAGCTCAACGATGACGATGGGATCATTACCTACAATGCTTTCGAGGACAAGATCCATTCGCCAGATGTCCGTGAGTACTTCGAATCTCTTGGCTTAGATGTGTCTGGGTTTCACTTCAGTCCCTACGTATATTATTGCGTTTCTATCCAGAGTTGCTGATTCATACGACATTTTTGGTCCGCATTCTACAAGACCAAACCTAAACACTCCATTTCCACAACTGTTTTTTCTAGCACCACGGCTCACGAATAGAGACAGCAAGTTGATGCCTTCTTCAAGCCCAGGTTTGGGATGCCTGGACTTTCTTCAAGCTCTTGGATGAGGTCTTGAACAGCCCCCCAAAGTTGCCCCAAAAGCCCTGCAAGCTGCCCCCTTCCCCCCTCCAAAACCCCCCCCCCCCTCCCAAAAAAAAAAAAAAACAAAAATCAAACGTTGAGGATGCCGGGGGTGCCGTTGAGACGGAGGAGTTTTTGATGGGTTGCCTTCGTCTGCGTGGGCCGGCGAGGGCGATGGAGCTTGCCAAGATCATCCAAGATCAGAGTTGGCTCATCAAGAACCTGGACCTTCTGGGAACATACGTGGAGTCGGAGATGAGTGGGATCAGGAAGGACCTCAAGGACCTTGCGCGCCTGACGGGTGTCGGCAATGTTTCACCCAAGAGCACCTCTCCCAAAGCCGATTTCAAGTTCTGAAAAACAGATCTCTCGCCCGCCGAACCTCCTTTCCTGCATTCCTCCATGGGCAAAAAGGGCCCGGTAAGAAGGGAATGGGATCGTGTGGAGGTAGAACGATGGCTCATCTCTGTGTACAGAGCCCCAATGCGAGGCAACACACAGAGGAGAGCCGCGTGAAGTTGCCATCAGTCTAGCGCGATCCGGAATTTTACAGCACCCCTTATGTCTGCATTCGGGACTCGGTATTGTATTCAGACCTTGCATTCCGAAAAAGGGCAATGGGAACCGTGCGTATGGCAGCCCAGTGGTCATGCTCCCTTGGTGTCTCTTTGCTCAGATACCTTGCTTTGTTCCCAAGCAGATGACTATCGCTCCGAAGCCCGAAGCAGCAGGTTGGTCCGCTTCGGAAGTCACAGCACGCTTTTCTGGTTCTTGCATCCATGTTTTGGTCCACGAATGAGCCGAACCTTGTCGATTTTTCTCATGAGAGCCGTACGTTCGCACGCTTCCCTGGCAGCCACGGTGGCTCGAATCTATCTTCTTTGATTGCATCAAATCGTAAATGGTCCACGGACCTCTTCAATCATTCTTGTTTGCCCCTGCACCGCCAGAAGCACGGGCCTCAGCACGACCGCAATTTCTTTTTTGGGAGGACGTGTCCAGACGTACCGACCTTGTCAGCAAAGGCCAGATGATGAAATGGGCTGGCGCAGTTGTGAGCATCCATTTTCTTGCAATTGTTGGCAGTGAACCTTGCGACGTGTCCGAGATCGCCTTGCTCCAAAAGCGAAGTCCCCGGAACCGGAGTCAAAGCTCTCTGCAAGAGGACCTGCTGCAAAACGCCCTCCAGCAAGAGGAGACGGGATGGACATGTTTCCGATGTAGAACCGAATTTACATTATACATATATGTGTGCTGTATGTATACATATACATATATATTGAAGCCATGTGAAGCCCTATGTCCTATATGCAATCCAAGTTGGAAAGGAGGAGCTGAAGGAGATCGTTCGAGAGCTGCGGGCAGAGGTCCGCCAGCTCTCCGCGCGCCTGGACACCGCGGCGCTCCCCCCTGGGTAGTCCCATTCTTCACTCTTTTTGTTTGAGATTTTAAGGGGTTTAGGGTTTAGGTCTTATGAGTTTAGGCCGTTTAGGAGGTTGTTCGGGATTTTCAAGGGAGGTTCTCAACAGTTCCCGCAGTTCAGACCTAGGCGGGCGGTCCAGAAAACGCGGCCCAGGCCGGTCCTCTGAGGGCAAAGGAAGCTCTTGCCCCGAAGTCCTTGAATTAAGGCCCCCCCGGCCCACCCCCCCAAGAAGCAGCAGCGCGTTTTTGGGCGATTCCGCAGAGGCCCCTTTGGCAGAAAGTGTGTGGAGAACCGTAGATTGTTAGGGGTTTTTTGTGGTTCGTGGGTTCCCAGTTGACTCCAGGCCGAGGCGCCATCCCTACCGAAGAGATACCACGAGGACGCTGCTCTGAGCTGCTTCTTCTTCTTCTTCTTCTTCTTCTTCTTCTTCTTCTTCTTCTTCTTCTTCTTCTTCTTCTTCTTCTTCTTCTTCTTCTTCCTGCTTGTTGTTTCTCAGGTTTGGTGTTTAGGATGGGGTGGAGGGCCATTGCTTCCACGACGTGTTTCTGCTTTATCGGGAGAAGAGGTTCTTCTCATGTCGCAGGAGTTGTTCGAAACGTGCCGGGGGCCAGAAGCCATGGCACAGACGGCTCATGCCCACGGATCGAAGCGGCAGGCTTCCCACATCCCGCTGCCCCTCGAGATGACAAGTACGCCAGTGTGCTAGAACCTTTGCGTATGTGTGTGTGTGTGTGTGTGGGTATATGCGCGTTTGTTCATGTTTCGGGCCTTCATGTACGTATATTTACGCATGTACATGTATGTATGAAATATGTAGTATCCAAAGTATCTTGCGGAGACTGCATCAGACTTCAAAGAAAGCAAAAAACAAAAAGGCTCCACAGATCACAACTGCGTGAGACATAGCTTGGGGCCTCAGAATATGGCCGCAGCGAGACGCGAGATAGAGCGAGAGAGAGAGAGAGAGGGACTCTTCAGAAGAAGAAGAAGAAGAAGGGACAGAAGAGTCGCGCTGGGTAGCGAGAGTCGCTGCTTTCTCACCTATGGACGGACCGAGTGGACTGGGCGCGCCGCCTGTGCGCGCGGGGGGTCTGTAGGCCCCTCATGCCCCGTAGCAGAAGACGAAGAAGACGAAGAAGACGAAGAAGACGAAGAAGAAGAAGAAGAAGAAGAAGAAGAAGAAGAAGAGAGAGAGAGAGGTTTGCCGCCCCTCCTGTGCTCGCAGGTTCATGCGGGGCATACCAAAGCTGCAAGCTTTTTTGAGACAGGGATTAGGGGACACACCTCCAACTGTGCTACTTTGCCACTTTTGCTACCCGACCCGCAACAAACGCGTTGGGGAGCACGCAGCGCTTGGGGTCTCCGATGGTCTCCTCCCTTGGTTCTCCCGTTTAACTTCACCTGACTTCAACATCCCGCAAAATCCTGAACGAGAGTCCAAACTCCCCGGGCGGGGTGCGAGGGAGCTTCGGCCCTCAGAAGCCCCCGATAAGCCCAAACCCTCTACAAGAAGCAACCTCTCTTTGGTTTTAGAGCCTCTTTTTGCCATGGCAACTTGCAAGTGCACGACGAACTTTTGGATGTTCTCTACTTGTTCCTATGAGGTCCTGCCCCTCCGGGATCCCGATCTTCGACTTGAGCCAGGGAGGCTACGTCTGCTGCCCAGAGCTGGCCCTCTACTGCGCAGGCAGATGGAGTTTCCGCCTAATTACCCTCTTGAGTTTCGAAATCTTTGCCTTTGGGGAGTCGGGCGGGTGCAGTTTCGGGTTGATTAGCCTGCGGCTGGCGCTTGGTTTTGGCTGTCTAGGGCTTATAAAACCATCAAAAAGCATGCGGCCGGCGGCTCGGGCGGATTCTACGAACTCGGCTTCTGAAAAGGCTCTCGCGTGCTCCAAAGCATAGAAAGGTGGCTCTCTCTCCCAAGAATGGTGTGTGAGCGCATTCTGCAGGATGCCAGGAGCTTACCGGCAGCAGTTGCGCCCGCTGCGCCGCGGGTTTTGTGGAGGTCCCCGGTGAGGGCCGCTGTGAGGCTTGCGTGGACACCACGGGCTGGACGGATGCAAGCGGAAAGACGTGCGCCCAAGCCATTTGCGGCGACACCGTCTTCAAGGGCCTCTCCTCCAAGCAAGCTTGCTGCCAATGCGGGGGAGGGCACCGGGCCGCGACGCCCTTCACGTACTACGTCGCCCCGACAGTGCTGTACGCAACCTCCATCACCGGCTTCCCAGTTCCGCGCACCGCAAGCCACTACACCATCAATGAGGGCTGCAAGCTTGTGGAATATGGCCTGGCCATCGACGGCGCCGCTCGGATTCACGTGGGCGTGCACATTTCCTTGTACTATATCGGCGCTTCGCAACGATTCGCAACGGGAAGTTGGAGTATTTATAAGTAAACAGTATGAATGCGAAGTCTGTTTCCATCAAATTCTAAGTGTGTATAACTCAGAGGCCACTGGCAGTTTGCAGATTGCTCCGGCCGCAGCTGGAGTGGGCGTCAACTTCTCGGAGGCCCCCCCCCCCCCCCCGAGATTGGATTTTTTGGTGGCTTGTTTTCAAACTTACTGGAGGGGTGACGAGAGAGAGAGAGAGAGAGAGAGAGAGAGAGAGAGAGAGAGCGTCTGGGAGAGAGAGAGAGACTCTGCCCTCTCCCTCTGCGCGCGCTCTCGCTCGCATTTTTTCCTGTTGCCATTGAGAAGAAACATGGCAATCAGATGTTATAACGTTGAATCGAACCAAAAATCCACAAGCATTGTAATTGTAAGTCCTATATAGAGAGAGAGCATGTCATGTCTAGATTTATGGCTGGAAGCGGAGAAGCGCGCACTCGATAGGCTTTCAGCATCTCTTGCACCATC